CTCTTTGGGGAAATCATCGCGGCGGAGATGCAGCTGGATCAGAGATCATTAATCCCGAGAAAGATCCCGTATCTGCTTCATGGCTGCCAGCGAAACTGCGCAAAAATCTTCTGCCTGTTCGCTACAATTACGGGCTGGTAGAGAACGGAGGAGTTGTATTCCTCGCTGATCACGAAGACCACTTGAAATTACATTTCCGGTCCGATGGAAAACTCTCGTTTTCAATTTTCTCAACTACACTGACAGGAAAAAGAGTAACTCAGCGTGTGTGTCAAGTGTGCTTCGACTCCATTAAGGGACAACCCGTTGCACTTGTAGCTGACGTCTGTTTTCTCCAAGATTTTAGTTGTTTCTTCAAGTGCTGTTCCAGTGGTAAATTGCTCTCTGCAGAAGGGTTGTGCGTAGACAACAATGACACCGATTGGTCCCCGCAAGAGTCTGCGGCGAGTGTTTTCCTGGAAGGGCACGGGATATACGGCGCCAAAGCTCTAACACATCCAATCTGTGGCACATCTCCGTTTTATATACAAAAACCTCCAGACACTGCCAAAGAGTTTGCAGAAATTCTTCAGAACAGGTAAAAGATAATTTTCCATTATAATAACTTGTGGTGTTACAGAGTGGCACAGACTTTCTCCTACTGGTTAGTTTACATAATTTTTCCGTTTGGGCTCTCTATTCGGTTTTGATCCACCCCTTTTGAGTTGCTATTTACTGGCACCTAAAATATTTTTTACTATTTTACAGACGTAATAGTACAATCGATATATAACTTGAAGAATATTATAGAATGATAAAATGTGGCTATATATGAACATTTTTTATTTAAAAGTTGGAGCCGTCTTTGAGAAATAGTTTTTGAGCGTATCTGAAAAAGCGCATTTGATAACTAATTTTAACTCAAAACTTTCGATTTTTCGATAACATTCATAAGAAGTTATTTGAAGCAATTGTATTCATAAATGCAATTATCTATAAGATATGACCGTAATGTAAATATTATTGACGTGGGAGATATATGTATAATTTTTTAAAAACATAACAGAGAATGCAGAAAAATGGTGTTTATGTTGTCCTATACAATGCAATTACCACTATCCGTTGAAAAATGACTATATTTACAAACAAACATGTGAGCCATTCTTGAAAAAGTGTGTTTGAGCGATTTTGAAAAGGCTTATTTTTGAGGTATATTTTGTGGATAAGTTTTGAGTTTTCTAGGCACCTTATTACACATCTTTCAAAGCACTTGTACTCCAAAATTCAATAATGTAAACAAATCTTAGGTTATGGCAAATGATGTGCGACGAAACAACAAACAATAATTGTTTCTAGAAAATGTAATTATTACATTTGTGTTTAAAAAACAACAAAACAATTCAGCGAAGTGGTGTTTATGTATTCTGATAGAGTGCAATTAGCTCTATCTCTACAAACATTTTAAAGCAAATAATGGTGATGCAAAAGGCAAAGACTATCTCGGAATAGTTAGTAATCTAATTTCTTTGGTCTGGGCTAGCTTTTCGGTTTTGCGTCATCCTTCTCCTAGCTGTCATCTTTTTCCTACCAAAGTACATTATTACATATTTTCACAATTTTTTGGTCCCCTAGTGGCAGAGCCTTCTAGTAGTCGCGGCGATGTACTGAGCGCGCAAAACAGTGCATTTGTGCTTTTGGACAAAGTAACGCGAATATAAAGCATCTCTGTTGGGTTGGTTATATTCTTGGCTCGTTTATTTTGCTATTACTGGAGTTCTCGAAGCCCCGCTGCTTTCTTGTTGACAATGCGATTTTTAGCAGATACTGTGTGACTCTTGTCCAGAGTTCAATGTGCAATTGCAACTAATGATGCTACTACGGCACGTATTTTCTCGCGATATTGTTAATGTTTATATAATATTATAATATGAGAATTTCTGTTTTTCACTTCAACTACCGTTTGAACATTCTAAAAAGGAACGAAGCCCAATAATACATACATGTATTAAATTCAAACACTGAAAGGAAAACAGCTTTCTACAATTCAATTGAATGTATTCACATTATACGTAATAGAGAAAACGTACCAAATTGCGCGATGGGTATTTTAGCCGTAAATAAAATTATTAGTGTGTATTAACACCGACCAACAGCCGCCTTCTATTATCACGCAAAAATGACTTTTAGTTCGTATGGGCTACACATTTTTCCAATCTGCATTCTTGATACAGCTGGAAACAAAATGAAACTGGATATTGTTACATTTATCAGAAATGCTCGTTTTTACATTAACTACTAATTATTCCCGTATCTTATTATGCAAAACGAAATGATATATTCGTTTTCACATTTACGTTAATTAAAGGACGCAATTTCAAATAATGATTAAATAATTACGTAATATTTCTTTTCAAGATTCGAATGACAGCCTCCAAGCACTTGCATTGCCATTGTAGTGACACCGCCTCGAAAGGAAACGCGAGAAATTTGAAACCTTCAACAATGAGAGCGCAGACACCGCCACAATTGGGAAACTATTCCAAAAATTCAATGAATCGGTCCCCAAAGCAATCATACTAGCGGATGCCATCGCTAATTAGAAAGACCCATCTACTAACCCAGCGACGCGCGCACGCGGTGCTGCGCAGGTCCCGCATCCACCGCTTCTCCAAGTCCTTCTTCTGCGCGGACAAGCTGTCTGCTGGCGGCGGAGAGGCCCTCGCGTACTGCCTGGCGCCGCCGCTGGCCCCCACGTACGAGGCCGTGCGGCCGCTGGGCGTGGCGGCGGCGGCGCTGCTGGGCGCGGCGCTGGCCGCCATCTTGCGCCGCGACGCCACGCGCCGCTCCGCGCACGGGCGTGCGCTCGCGTGCCACGCCGCCTGCCTGCTCGCCGCCAACGCCACGCAGGCCGCCTGGTTCTTCCTCGACCGCGACGACGCCTACTGCAAGTACTACGGTGAGGCTCACGTACACACATGCTCACGCACAAACACAAAGCAACACGCATACACTCTCACTCATACACACACACTCGTATGCACACGCCTTCAAATACACACCAGATATATAATAAGCCACGCATTATGGGAAAACGAATTGACGAATACGCTTTATCGTGAATTGGTAGGAACGTACATCTGTCAAGTGTATGTGTGTGTATTTAAATCCCTATACCTCATCCCTTCAGTAACAGTAGTCTCACCCTATAGTATTAATTAAGTAATTCGATATTGATTATCCGCAGCATAAACTAATTTTCTCTATACTATGTATATTTATCTGTATGTGCGTGCGTACATGAGGAAGTAAAAAAATATATTTTCCCGACGTCGAGAAAATTGGATGGGTGGTATAACATGAAGAAAACTCACCTTTTTGTAAATCTTTGTACGACAAATGATTCGAGAACCAATGTTTTTTGTGTAAATGGTGTCATTTATCAATTGGTGGTTACACTTCCAGCTGCTTTCTATTTTCTTATCTTACTTCTGCGACTCCAATAATTTTAAAATCTTCGATATAGTTTTATGTTAGTCAAAATGTAATTGATATTTCAGAAAAATCAAAAACGATTTAATCGAAGAAATGCAATTAACTCTGAAAGTTTGGAACCGAACTAGAGATTCGGATTCTTTGAACGGAGACGTGAATACGAAGAATGGTTAGTATGCCGTTGATCAATTGGATGTGCGATGACCGAGAAAAAACCGATCGTATTGAAAATAATGTTCATTAAACTGTATATAAATATTAAGCAATAGCTTAATATTTATATACAGGGATTTTCAGGGCTCGTATTTTAAAGAACATTCTACGAGGAAGTATCGGTCTTTTTTTCCTGTGAAGTGTATATTACTAGAAGGTTATTGCTGCATGTTTGTCAAAGTCTCCGTACTAACATATTTTCCAAGGCAATGACTTAAGAATTCGTTAAAAAGGAAAATGATGAAATTGAAATTTTGCTTCGTTGTGTGTCCCATACAAATTTTTTGTACTTCAACCCTTAGTTGTGCTCATTGAAAATTAATGGATATTATTTCTACAAGGAGAATGAAACTAAAGCTTATTGGTTGCTATGCTCGCAGCGTACGCCATCTACTTCTTCATGGTTGCGGCCGGCACTTGGCTGAACGCTATTTCCATCAACCTGGCCAGGGGCTTCAAGTGAGTACTCTGCTCCGAGTGAGAATCCCAAAGACTAGTCATTATGGATTACGTAAAACAGTTTAACATTTAAGTAAACTTGGTTTGCTTTGTTCCAGAATTATTGCTTATGAATTACCCCTTAAATGGGATGATGGAGTCTTCGAGACACTTGCGATTGTTTTCTTTCATGGAGTTTGTGTTACCTTCCCAACAAAGTTGGGAAGGTTCATTTACCTTGAAGTCGAATGGCTATTAGTGTTCACCAGAAGTGGAAAATCACAGGTTCTCACCTTCACCGATTGGCAACCGATTAGATTTTCGTGAGGGTCTCACAGACGTATTGTATCAGTTGCGTTAGTGTTTTTGCTCTTGGAAATTTTTGAGAAACAAGTTTTTCTGACGCTTTAGATACCCAATTTTCTTCTGAGTCTATGTGAATTTGAAGCGTGACGAGAAATATAATTGAATTTGATTCGTTCAGTGTTCTTAAATTGGTAATATGTTATTGAAAAATCGTTTTGAAATAAGAACTGGTCATTTGAAATGTAGCATTATAATTTATTATATTTCCTCTTATGTACATTTGTTTGTATATTTTATTGCCTAATAGTCTTGAGGAATTATCTTTGGTAGTAAGGATTGCGTAAAGTTTACCTTCAATACAGTAATACAAAAGATATTGAAAGAATATCGCATTGTCTCGCAGACACTATTCTACCAGAATATCAGATACAAACATTGTGGCATTTAAAGGTTAAATGCTCCATTATCAATCGTATTTTGTGTTGTTTAAACCTTTAGTTTTGTATATGTAAGAAAAAATTCCGATACAAAAATACAACCTTCTTACGAGAATGAATTGGATTTGAAACACAATGGATGGGTGAAGGAATTGAAAGAGATTTCTAATTCACGATGGATTTTCCTTGGTCTGCAAACAATCAGTAAACGCAATGGTTACTTGAATTACTAAATTGTCAGGTGACAGTCGAAAGAGGGTCGGTAACCTGGAGCAAATCAATAAAAGTTTAACTGAGTATAGACAATTATATTTCGCTACCCCTATCATTATTTTCCATTAACATACACTTTCATTAAAAAATTGTTAATTTGAAATGTAAATTATTCTTTGAAACTTATGTGAGCAATCTACAGTAATTTTTTAAATATTTTGTGTAAAATTACATAAGATAATTTTTACTTCAAGAGAAGATATGGCTCCCTTCTGATTTTGCTTTTGCTTTAGTCGGACAGAAGGACAGACGGAAGGACGGACAAGGATGGACAGAAGCACGGACGGACAGATGTACGAACAGACAGATATAGGGAGAGATGACCGGACAGCTTAAGACAGACGAACGTACGGTCTGGCACGTGGATGGACAGAGAGACACGCAGTTACGTGGACACGCGGTCGGACGGCAACGCGATTGGTCGCACACCATAATCGGACGGACGGACGGACGGACGGACGGACGGACGGACGGACGGACAGACAGGCGGTCGGACGGAGAGACTGGCGGTCGGACGGAGAGACTGGCGGACAGAGTGGCAAGTGAACTGACGGACAGGCGTTGGTGTTGATGTCAATAGATTTTTCTGTATCCAGGATCCAACGTGGATTCTAATTAGACAACGTGTTAGAGACACTAATTAACTACATAAAGGAACAAGATTTATTCAAGTTTTTGATTCCATGGTATCGCAGAACGAAACTAATTTTGAGAAATTGCCCATTATTCCCGCAGCATTCCAATACTCTCTCTTTACTATGAAAGAACTTAGTAAAGTAATAACAGAATACGAGTAGCAACGCATGTGCAATTTTCTTTTGGCGCCCACCTCTGTGAATATTTTGTGCGTACTTGGCTGCATCATAGCGAGCGATGACTTCGCAGGCGTCCGCTGGGCGCGCTGGCGGGCGGCGCGCGGGGAGGCGGAGGGCGGTGCGCGGGCTTCGCGCTGCTGTCGGCGTGGGCGTGGGGCGCTGCGGTGGCGCTGACGGCGCTGTGCGTGGCGGCGCACGGCAACGCGCAGCGGCTGAGCGACGGGGGCCTCTACGCGCCCTCGCTCTTCGAGACCAGGACGTGCTTCTTCGAGGTCGTCTACACCGAGCGCCAGCGCAGAGGTGCTTTCGCAGACGCGACTTTTGGGTGTATTTGTTGCTAGGAGCTCAGGTACAGGGCGGTAGTAAAGCCTCAACACAATGCACGATTTGGCCCTACACGCTCTACGTACCATTATCTTGTCTCTTGATATATGAATCTGTGTTTTTTGTCAAAAATGACTTACTTAAGGGCGGGAATGTATTTCAGCAAACGCTAATGTCTATAACTACACTGGAATATGATTACACTCGACATAGTAATCATATTCATCAGGTGACAGTATCAACAGCTCACTCCGAAAAAATTCACATATAATACATGTACATTATTTTACAACACCTTGCCAAATGACATTAAACGATTAAATTCGATACGAACGTTTAAGTCCTAAGTAAAATCGTTTGTGCTGCACAAGTGTGTCTATACAGTTAGAGACTATACCAAAACTGTACTGAGACTATATCCAAGAGGAAAGTAATAGTAAATTTATCAATAACATTTAATGTATTATATACCATTTGGACTGTATAATTGTATTTCAAGTATTGTACTTCAGCTTCTGGGTCAATAACACCCATCTCAATCAGGTTTTCATCCAGTTTCCCTGATCCTCGAGCAAGTGCTGAGATGGCCCCTTGTTTTGGTTCTGGACATAAATGTAACTTCAAATTAACTTCTCCCCAGGGCACGTCACATACCATTTTTAACTGTTTTTTCGTAAATAAATAAATAAATCAGTAAATAAATAAATGAGTAAATAAATAAGTCAGTAAATAAATAAATGAGTAAATAAATAAATAAATACGTGGGGCAGATGGATTTTTAAGTGGTTGGAATGATTATCATATTTTCAGGACCACTTTAACAAACTACAAATCGCTGTATAGGCAATAGTACGCGGCACATAAAAAAATGCTCCCGGAAGGGTCTATGTAATGATCCGGCACCCAAGGGGAAATTCATAGACGCATATTACTTTATATGAAGAAAGTGCATTTAGAATGAATATGAAGAAAGAGAAATAGAAAGTTTGTTTCTTCATTCAGAAAAATGTATATTAATATAGGCACCCTTCTTCAATTTTCGTGTCAATCGGAAATGCAAGGCAATAATTCTTACATTTGTTTTCCAGGAAGGGTCAATAAGACGGATGACAACCTTGGTGCACTATTTTATTACTACACGCCCATGGGTGTCCTGGTCGTGATAAACACCTTCTGCTTGATCTTCACCACCTGCAGCATCAGGAGGCTGAGCAGGGGCACGTCCATGGTGGAGAGAGCTCGCGCCGAGAAACTCGCTTCATCACGAGGTTTCCGGAGGTGAGAATTGAGTCATTTATGCTTTTGATGGCTCCTAGTACGAAGATGTTACTTTTAGAGCATGCAAAGGGTGCTATTAAAATCAATTTATATCAATAATACTAGAAGTGTGTCGATGATCAAATGTTCAGATAGAATTATGAAAACACCAAAGAAAACAAACTTCTGTCGTCCGATACCATCAGCTACTAATGATAACAATGTAACATTCGTATGTGTCAATTTCAATAGAATGACCGTCAATACGGATATCTAAAAAACACTTTCAAAGTTATTCTATTTTTTTGTTAGATTGTAGAGATTCGCAAACCAAAATTCTAGTTTTACCTCTCGTATTATAAATAACTATTCTGTCAACAAATACAGCGTCCATTTTATAAATCAGAAAATAACGGAAACAGGAAATGCTTCTTTTGTCGAAATGAGGAGTGATCATTGAAATCGCTAGTAAAACTTCATAGAATCACTAGCTGATTACCCCGCGTAACCTGTGTATTTATAACAATCATCTAGCGAGCAGGTTCCCCCAAAAAAGCTGTGAAGCATCCTAAGCCTTACCACTATTCTAATATTCCTTCCCAATTCTGGCCAATGGGTAGATGACGCAGGGCGCCTGCAACAACTCGAGCGCGAAGACACGGCGATTCCTTCACTTGACTGCGACTGACGTGGCTTGACTAACCCACCGGCCCATAGAGAGAGCTTAAAACGGAGAATTACTCCAATAATAAACAATGTTAACGGACGATTATTCCATAGGGTGCTCAACGCCCCTTAAGGAACTACGGAACTTGTAGCGTCTATATAGAAGTAACAAATTTAAAAAAAACATGTCTTGGCCTTCCCGTCTTATACCCGCGCCGCCCATTCAGACCTACTTCTCTCTTTCGCTCAACACGTTCCGCCCTCTTCTTCCGGTCTTTGCTATACACTTATTCCTCACGCTAGGGACACTTCGCCGTGTCTCTTTCCGCTTCACCTGCTCCCCTATTCTAAGACACCTTCTTTCGCTCCTCTAACTTCTTTCCCTTCCTCCCCTCCTTCTGCGTCGAAAAATAACTTGCTTGATTTCACCCTACTCACTTCGTTCGCCAGTTCCTGCCTGCACTACCCTTTTCCTCTTAGTCGCGCCTCGCATCATTCATCAACAATGCTAAAAAGTTAAATACTATTGAGGATAGCATTTGGCTAACGTTTGTAACAATAATTCACGATTTTAAGCAACATTTTGAATCGCCACTACAGTATTCTGGATTCAAACCACTCAAAAGTATTAACACACAAATATTGGAAAAAACAATCCAGTGGTTCTTACTGGCATACTGTACGTGAGGCTTCTGTAAACAATAAGCGTGGCGAATCTCAGTATATGTTTGTGAGTAAAATCCGTTCTAAAAGTAACGCTGCTGCTGACGGCTGGTGTAGCTGAGTGCATGTCTGTTTGTAGAGCCGTGCTGTGTGAGAAGCAGCTGCTGACGGGTGTGTGGAGGAGCTGAGTGTGTGTCTCTGTGCCTAGCGCCGTGCTGCACGTGAAGGTGATGCTGACGGTGGGACGTGGGGGAGCTGAGTGTGTGTAGCGCTGTGCTGTACGTGAAGCTGCTGCTGAGGGTGGGCGTGGTGGAGCTGTGTGTGTCTGTGTTGCCCAGCGCTGTGCTGTACGTGAAGCTATTGCTGATGGTGGGCGCGGTGGAGCTGAGTGTGTGTTGTGTGCTAGCGGCTGGTGGCTGTACGTGAAGCTGCTGCGTGATGATGGGCGTGGGGGAGGTGAGTGTGTCTGTGTGCCAGCGCTGTGCTGTAGCGTGGAAGCTGCTGCTGAGCGGTGGGCGGGGTGTAGCTTGTGGTGTGTCTTGGTGGTGCCCGGCGCTGTGCTGTACGTGAATGCTACACGTACTTGATTGTACTGTGAGTAGTGCTTGCGTGTAGCTTGTTATTGCTGGAAGTGGTGGGCCGTGGTGGAGCCTTGTGTGTGTCTGTGTGCCCAGGCGTGTACTGTACGTTGAAGCTTATGTTGGGCTGGAGCAGGGCGGGTGGACGAGTGTGTGATCTGTGTGCCAGCGCTGTGCTGTGAGCGTGGAAGCTGCTGGCTGAGGGTTGGCGTGGTGACGCGTGTGTTGGGTCTGATGGTGCAGCGGGCTTCGATTGCTGGTGGCGTCACGGGGGGTGGAAGCTACTGCTGAGGGTGGGCGCGGTGGAGCTGAGTGTTGTCCGTGTGCTAGCGCCGTGCTAGTATTGTGCTGCTGCTTGATGGTTGGGCGTGCGGGGATAGCTGAGTGTGTGGCTGTGTGTGTAGCGTGTGCTTACGTGAAGCTGCTTGCTGAAAGGGTGGGCCGTGGTGGAGCTGTGTGTGTCTGTGTGCCCAGCGATGTGCTGGTACGTGAGCTGCACGCTGATCTCGGTGGGCGTGAGGGGCAGCTGAAGTGTGTGTCTCGTTGCCCAGCGCTGTGGCTGTAGTGAAGCTGCGCTGGATGGTGTGCCGTGGGGGAGCTGAGTGTGTGTCTGGTCTAGGCTCGTGCTTGGTTTTGTAGTTCGCTGCTGATGGTGGGCGGTGGGGGAGCGAGTGTGTGGCTGTGTGTGTAGCGATGTGCTGTACGTGAAGCTGCTGCTCGAGAGGTGGGCGTGGTGGAGCTGGTGTGTTCGTGTGCCCCCAGCGTGTGCTGTATAGTGAGAGCTGCTGGCTGATGGTGGGCGTGGGGGAGCTGAGTGTGATGTCTGTGTGCCCGCGTGTGCTGCTACGTGAAGCTGGCTGATGTGTGCCGATGGGGGAGCTGAGTGTGTGGTCTCGTGTGCCTAGCGGCGTGCTGTGATTTGTAGCTGGCTGCTGATTGGGTGGGCGTGGCGGGGCAGTGAGTGTGTGTGGTGTGCCAGCGCTGTGCTGTACGTGAAAGCTGCTGCTTTGGAGGGTGGGCGTGGTGAGCTGTGTGCTGTCTGTGTGCCAGCGCTAGTGGCTTGTACGTGAAGTACTGCTGAGGGTGGTGCGCGGTGGATGCTGAGTGTGTCTGATGTGTGTAGCGGCCGGTGCTGCTACAGTGAAGCTGCTCTTGACGGGCGGGCGTGGTGGAGCTGGCGGGGAGGGCGTGGCGTGGGGCGCGCGCAGCCGTCGCTCATGGCTTCGTGAGTGGGCGGAGGATTTCGCCGCGCAGAGCGCCTTCGTCTTCGCCATCGTGGGCACCTGCATCGACGTGGTGCGCGCCGCCGCCGTGCTCTGGCTGTGCGTGGGGCGCTGTGATCGACTTTCCTTCTTGCGCTCACAAGCCAAGTCCTCAGCCCCTCCCGCTCCTCGTAAAGTGAAATCCGCTCCGTCGCCTCAACCCGCTACCCTATCTCCTGCTGCAGATCTTGTGATTCAGTCGCCTCCTGTTTGTAATGTCCTACCTTCTCCTTTCACGGAAACGTCACACTCAATATTTGCTGAATCTCCAGACGCCCTTGGTAAATCGTTCATGACTCGCTTGTAAGGAACGTATTCAGTATTTTACTTCTTCCTTTTCAGTATTTTGTACCTTAATATTTAATGATATATTGTGTTAAATAAAAGTGGTTCTTTGCAATTCAGACTCTGGATCAGACTCAACAAAGTTAGGATTAACGACTAATGAGATGAACTGAACCTCCATTTATTTATATGACAATATATTAACGGCAGATGATCTCGACGAATGAAACCGTATACTGATGGAGGGTTTTGAAACTGAATGAATATAACGTGCTGACAGTGGTTTGATGAGAATGGTGATACTTCCTGATAAAGACACGGTGGGTTCCATTTGGTAAACAATTCCAAAAATCAGAATCTTCTTAAAGACCAAAAGGAATCGATGTGGATTTGGTGTTTTTTTTACTAAAAGTGTTTTCTTGATTGGAACGTGACTTGATGCGTGCTGTTGGTGATGCATAATGAGTAAAGTGAAGAGGAAAAACACATTTTCATACAAGAAAATACTGGAAATTTAAATGAATTACTTAGCCTTTCCTCTTGTCGATGTAAACGATCTAAGGAGAGACCTATTTTTCTAACAAAGTAATTAATATCTTTTATATTTATATTTCTGTAGTTGGATAATATGGAAAATTCCTTTGATCCATAAATAGTTTAAGGTGACGCCCAACGTCTGACAAAAGAAATATTTTTAATATGATACTGTGAAGTATTAAGGGTGTTCTAGTCAAATCTCTTAATAAATCTGTAGACAATTTGGAAGAGAAAGTGATTAATGAAGACTCTTAGTGACACTCTGAAGAACATAGTTAGCGTCTATGAAGAACGCAATAGAAAACTGTTGTTGGAAACTATATTTTCAGCAACTTTTCAGGTAATAAAGAGTTAAAATATTTATTTTTAATTCCAAAACAGAAATGCAAATGGGATTAGTGTTTCTATGTAAAACAAATATTTTAGAAAATTAAACACTTTCACTTTCCCACGTATTTGGTTGAATTTCCCAATTTGGTTCCCACGGATTGAATTTTAATGTTTTGGAATATTTTAATGTATTTGTTAATTCGAGAAATCAAGTGTGGTTTTATTCGCCCTCCAATTATACAAAATTCGTACTCCAAATCTTTGATTTATATATTTTTTACAAATTAATTTGAGTTAAATTTATTAAATTTTTCATGTAGTAATTGTTGTTATTTTAATTATTATTATTTATTTTATAACAAAAGAATAGATGAATATTTAAATTCATATGTGTGTATTTTTTAAAGTTGTAATGTTTTAGAGCTAATATTAATCTTCATTGAAAGGGTTACAAATATTCAAACTAATAAATTATTACAACATATGAATTTTTAAAAGGTTTGTAATGTGTAATGGTTTTTATCATTTTACAGTCTTTAGTATAGAGGCACACAATTTGCTGTATTTAGTAATGAGGCTTTTCCTAATCAACTAGTACATTATTAATTATCTTTAGAAAAAATCTAATTAATAATCAAAATTTAAAAAATAGTTTTTTAAGAGATTTCTCTGAAAAATCATTTAACTTAGGCCGTTGATACAATTTTTCTCGCCGAGTTAAATTCAAATCTTCAAAAGATGGATTTAGAACTCAATAAAAATTAAAATATTTAATAAATTGATTAAAACTTTACTTTGTTATTATTATTTTACTTAACTAAATTTGATCTGCTTGGATTTTTTAATTGAGTTTAAAGTTTATTTTATCATTTATTAATGTTTTTCCCCTACCTAAAGCGACCATTATGTGAGAATGGTGAATTTTATTGTCAATTACTTTGAAATTCTGAAAATCCCTGACAGGCATACAAGCTGAACAAAAGGAACTTTTTTAATGCCATTTTAATGTAATTGGAGATGGCATTGCAACAATCTTGAAGCATTCTTTATATAGATTTAGTCTTTTGTCAAGCTAACTTGTATTGTGGGTTACTTAATTATAAAAATACTTGTCGTACATATATGAGTCGTTAATTGTCGAATCGATTACTCAAAAGCAGTTCGTCGTACAGATAAATTAGGAAACGTTGGAATGTACGTCAATTAATTTTGTATATTTGATGCGAACGGACATACCTTATTACCCTTTGATTAAAAATTGGGCGAGTGATTATAAGCTACAGCAAATAGATTTCCAAATTGACCAACATATTTTTAAAATAACCTTTTTTATTTTTGGAAGATCGTATATTATTTACGTTAACATATTTCATAATTTACACTATCATGTATGAAAACCAATAATATATATAATTCATTATAATAATACAAAGAAGTAACGTCAGAGCCATTCAGGCGGCATAAGAGATTACAGTATTAATTTACATTACTAGTACAGAAATTGCTTACTTGCTATTTGTGTGCATCTTTTTTTTTAATATGCCCAGTGTGAAACATGGTTTCTATTGCGAGTTTTTCGTGTGCGAAAAAGTTAATTTTCCCATTCCAACTAATAGTGTGCAAAACATTACTAAGCGTGCGCGAAACATCGAGAAGCTGGTGCGTTCCATCTTTCGTACAAGGCATTTAAAAAAAATTGCCAAACACTTCATATGGCGATGCACATATGGCTTTGCGGTACACATATGGCAAACTATATTTTTCAATCAATAAAAAGAGAGGAATGAATAAGTTTACATGCATGAGTGATGAAAGTCATTTTTATCCACATAACATGATATTCATGCAAGTATTATTTATGTGATCCTTTATTTTATTGAATTTGCGCTATAATTAGAGCCGCCAACTCCGTGAGCGCCAGGCCTGGAATCTACATTTATTTTATATTTATAACAAATTATATGCTAATCCACTCTGTATTGGATACATATTTGAGCTATACCAGTTAGTGAATTATATTCAATGAACAAATAAAATAAAAACGTGCCTAAATTTTTTAATATTTATGAAATAAGAATTGTAAGGCTTACGAAAAGCGTTATCGTAAAGCTTTTTATCCACAATGTAAATATGCAATGAAATATAATTTTCCTTTTAATTTGACTCTCCAGCAAAATATGACACTGATATTGATAAAGTTAATATAATGCCACGGATTATTAAATCAATATGTGAATACTTTTCGTTTTTATTATTTGAAATTAATCATGTTGATAGTAGGCCATGGATTATTAGAACGCTTTGTGATCTAATTTCATAATTTTGATTACGAAAATGATCTGAGTTTCTTTTTAGAAAAAAAATGGATAAAAAAAGCTATTTAAAAATTAAGCAATCGAACAATCTTTATTAAATGTTACTTTTTTAATCTAATTTTAATCTAATGTAGCTACAGAATGGCAAATACTTTCTTGTACTAGTTAGTTTTCTGATTTTTGGGTTCGGGTCTACCTTTCGGTCGTGCCTCATCCTCTTCTGAGCTCCCATCTATCCCATCTAACGCCGCCCAAACATCACTTTTTCACATTTGCTCAATTTTTCGATTTCGTAATGGCAGAAACGAAAAATTAGTTTAAGAATATAATAGAAGAGTAAAACCTCATCTAATACGAAAATTTGTGGTGAAAAATTTTGTAGCCGTTTTCCCGAAAATGACGTTTACGCGTTACTGTAAATACAAATTTTGAAGCTTTTTCACAGAAATAATGAGTTTTACAAAAAATATTGATAGTGATTGAAGCGCTTCTATTCACAAATGCAATAATGTATACAAATTTCTGGAAATGTGTACATTACACGCATGAGATATTTCAAACCAATTACATTTGTGTAATTTTTGAGCAAAAAAAAAAACACCAAAGGAATACAACAAAATAAATTTTAAGACATCTTAAATTTGCTGGCTCTGCCTGTTTGAAAAAAACTGGCTCTACCTGTATGAAAAGTTTAAAGAAAAAAATTGAACCCGTTTTTTTGGAAAATGACGTTTGGGCGTTTTTGAAAATGCAAAGTATTGAGCTCGATTTCACAGAAAACGAGTTTTAGAGAAATTTTATGTCTTTATTTAAACAACATGTACTCTTCAATGCAGAGGCTAGTCAGAAAGTTATATGTATGTAATTTTTGTAAAAACAAAAAAAAAAATAGGAGAAAATAGCTTGCCTGTCATCTAATAGTGCATTTACCATTATCCATACCAAAAGTTTACAGAAAACATTTGGAGTCTTTTTTTTTGTTATTTTTCAAATCGCACAAATTACACGCACTATTGCAATTACGAAAGTTTAAAAAAGTACCATGAAATTAATGAAAGAATAATTGGTAACAAATTTCATCTGAAAGAAAAATCTCTTTAATTTTGTAATCGTAGGAAGATTCGGGAAAAATACAAACTTTTGCAATTTTCGAAAATTTAGAGGTAACTGAAAATCTGACCTATACCACGTTTTTATGAAGAATATGAATTTTCTTCTAGTAACTTCAGCGTTTTGACTTTGATTTTCTTACTTTTCCGTCTTTCGCTCGCACAGATTGAATTTTTCAAGTTTTAGTATTTGATGCTCGAAAAAATCCCTCCATAAATAAAACAATGACTATTAATTGTAGTAAACATTTAAAAATAATCAGAAAGTAGATAAATACAAGTATAGTAACTACGTTTAATGTCCATACTTTGACATCGTGAAGGAATCTTGAAAAAATATTTTTATACAATTTTTTTGGAGACAGAGAAATATTGTGGTCCACGAACATGCATTACTACAGCAATTGACACGTTATGTGATTTCAATTGTAATAGTTATTTTTGTATTCACGAATTCCAATCATCACGATTACGATGATAAAAATTACCCATGCCACACATTTAACTTTGGAATGCTTGTCAGACGTCGTAGATCGCGTGTTCAGGTCCTCTGCGATTGGTGCAGGACTTCCTCCGCCATCTTCATCCCGGCGCACCGCATCGCGCTGCCCACCGCCACTCATCCTGAACTCCGGCACTGAGAAACCTGCTCCCCTGGTGTCGCCGAGTAGCAAAGGACGTAACAACAGACCACAAGTCTCCCACCTTCAGTCCGCACTGCCTGCTGCGCT